GTGCCCGCCCTCTGTGCGTGGCCCCGGGAACCGCGCGTGTGCGCGCCCGAGCCGTGGGAAGCGTAGGCCGTTTGGTTTGGGTTGGTTTCTCTTGCGTGTTCTGCCGTGGGGAAGTCGGTGAGGCCTGGGTCGGTCGGGCCGGGCCAGCCCGCAGGGCGGCACCGCGGGGCTGCCCGCTCCGCCGCGGGGCTCTCTGCTTTAGAACTATTGCCTTTAGCTGTGTGCGGCAACACTTAAAGTAATGCTGATGAAAGGGCAGGTCCTGTGTCCATGAACTTCAAATCACTGTGTTTGCTGTCTCGGCATAAGAAAGTAATCTGAAAATGGTAATTTTCAACCAGAAGACTGTGTATGGCTGTATGATGGAACTGTTGTTATTCTGTAAGTCCGCTAATTGCATGTTAATCATACGCAAAATGTGCAGAAGGTGACTGGGAGGATGATGTAAGAAGAAGGAAGAATTCATCATACTTTTATTTGGCTTGGTTTATTTCATTGATTCTGTATCAGAAATGGCTGTATCATAATGGGCACGCTTGTGTGAGTAGTTTCTGGAGGGTTGTAACATAACAACTGTCCAGAGTGCATCACTAATCAGTTAAAGTAGTTAATTTTTTTACTTGGTCCAATCTTGTTCAACATATTCATCAGTGACCTGGATGAGGAGACAAAGTGTATCCTCAGCAAGTTTGCTAATGACACTAAACTGGGAGGGGTGGTCAACACTCCAGAGGGCTGTGCTGCCATCCAGAGTGACCTGGGCAGGCTGGAGAGCTGGGCAGAAAGAACTTCAGGAGGTTTAACAAGGGCAAGTGTAGGGTTCTGTGCCTAGAGAGGAAGAACCCAATGCACCCGTATAGGTTAGCGGTGCACCTGCTGGAAAGCAGTTCTGAGGAGAAGGATCTGGGGGTCCTCGCAGATAGTAAATTACCATGAGCCAGCAATGTGCCCTTGTTGTCAAGAAGGCCAAGGGAATCCTGGGGTGCATAAGGAAGAGTGTGGCCAGTAGGTCGAGAGAGGTCATTCTCCCCCTTGACTCTGCCCTGGTGAGGCCACAGCTGGAATATTGTGTCCGGTTGTGGGCTCTCTAATTCAAGAGACACTTACATGCCTGTAAGTATCTAGAGGGTGGGTGCAAGGAGAATGGAGCCAGACTCTTTTCAGTAGTTCCCAGTGACAGGACGAAGGGCAGTGGGCACAAGCTGGAACATAAGAAGTTCCATTTAAATATGAGGAAACACTTCTTTACAGTAAGGGTGATAGAGCACTGGAACAGGCTGCCCAGGGAGGTTGTGGAGACTCCTTCTCTGGAGATATTAAAAATCTGCCTGGATGCAGTCCTGGGTAATGTGCTCTAGACAATCCTGCTTTAGCAGGGCAGTTGGACTAGATGATCTCTAGAGGTCCCTTCCAACTCTGACAGTTTTGTGATTTTGTGAAATCTGCGTTCAGATGTGAGGCTGCCTGCTTTCTGCATTTGCTGGAATTCCAAAAGCAAATAATTTGCATTAGTTATAAAAAATAAGTGGCCTTTTAGGTTTTTTTTATTTCACCAGTCTTGAAAATGTATTTACTTACCCTACAGGGTAACAACTCCCAGATGTATGAGGGAAGCTAGAACGATGGTACAGCTGCACAGTATGCAGTTAATTAGCTGATTAAGACTTAAGAGTTATGCCGTACTATGTTCACAAATCCATGATCAGGATCCTTGTCACGTTTATTTTGCATTTGTGGATGCACGAAAAATGCAAATGTGGTGTAGGATCTGAGTGTTCCCCTTTCAGTAATGAAGGACTGAAAAGCATTAGTGGTTTGGCAGAGTGGAATAAGTAGGCAGTAAATGAAAATGGTCAGATGCATCTTGGAAAGAGAAGTAATTAATATAATGAGTATTTAGTGGTTGATTATAATAGAGTCTCATTTCTAACAAGGTGATGGCAGGTATGCTGTTATCTGACTACACTGTAACTATGCAAAAAACCCCCTACCAAAACCAAATAACACCCCACCCTCTAGTTCTTACTTTCTTAGCGTTGTTTTTGCCATTCAAGATGGCATTGGTCTGAGAAGCAACAAGTACAGTACTTGTGTTACTGGTAAAATTATTTGTGAAAGAGGAGAGGAAAATATGCAAGTAAACTAGTTTGAACAAGTTTCAGATAGAGGCTGTGGTGGAAGAACCTTCTGTGGTTGAGGGAATGGTGTAATTTTTCTCCTGTTCTCTGTCCTATATGCCCATGAGTCATTGTATTTCTGTGTAACTATAAGATACCTCCACTGTGGAAAAATATCTCGTAGGTGCGGGACTGCATTCAGAAAACACTGACTGAATGGAGCTCAAAGATTGGACAAGATCTAAATCAGGTACGAGAGGTGTTACTCATGTTATCCTTGTTGCACGTGAAAACAGAGAAATACGTAGTTGGTTGCACCTTTTAAAATACAAATTAATGGATTAAATTTCTGTAAAAGTATCTGCAGCTCCAGATATCTTGAAAGGTATTTCTTCACCTCTCTTTATTTATTTTTTTATATTTAGCAAATTCAGAGAGATGAAGAAATAGCAGAGTAAAAAGTAAGTAAGGCAATTCTTAGCAAAATAAAAGTCTTGTTCTGTAAGATTTTATGTTAATTGTTGGGGCAATCACAAAAATAAAAATCAAAAAAATCTGTGTACCTTAGAAATCTGCTAGCATTCTTCTGAAAACTCAATGGAGAACTATCTCAACTGTGGAGATGATAAACTAGATAGCACAAGATCATCCTGTTTGATGGGGAACTCTGAAGCATAGCCTTGGTTGTCTCAAAAATGTTTTTGAAGATGCAGAAGTGATAAAGGACTCACTTGAAGATTTTTTTGGTAGGGCAGCAAAAATAAACAGTGTTCTTTGTTGGGGATGGGGTGCTACATATGCATGTGTGTATATAATGCAAAATCTCATGTAGGTAAATCCTTAAATAATCTTGTACCAGCTGATGTAAGATGTTAGCCTATTCTTAAATCAGGACAGGGGGTGAAATCTCTTTCTTAATTTTCAGTTTCAAAATCAGTTTTAAATCTAAATTTTACAGTATTTCTGTGTTAGACTTCACTGAAATTACAAAATGCTTTCATGCAAGGATGCTCCCCTAATTCTGACAATGGGTTTTTTTCCACCTGCTCATGAGGGGTGTGTTGGTTCGGTTTTTTTTAAAGCAAGGTAATTTGAATTTGCACAGTGATCTGTTCCCATCAGGAAATCAGAACACTAGTAAAACTTATTCCAATAATTCTTACCAATATATATATTTTTTAATATTAGGGCATATAGGGCCTTTCATATAGCTTCATTTTCCTGTCCTCCCCTCAGATCAAGAAACATTTGGCTTCTTTCTGTCGTTGCATTTTTATTCTATTTTTGTTTCTGACGGTTATAAGGCTTTTTGGTTTGGGGATTTTTTAAATTAAGAACATTCTTCAGAAACTTGCTGTCTCTTGATGAGTTGTTCTTAAGTCTCATGTACTTACTACAGGAAATACTGGAGGATCTGGAATGTACAGTAGCTCAAGCTATAGAAAAAATAATTCCTGAAGAAAGGGATGAGTTGAAAGTATCAGGTAAGAACATAGTAAAAAATCTGGTGGCATAAAAAGGTTTTTCATGCAGTTATTAATGGGATGTTTGTATGCATATGTTTTTTCCGCCAAGTCTTGCAATTTCAAAGTCAAATTACATCAGTGCACACTGTCATACTTTGAGTAACCTAGAAGATGGCTGAGAAAGACTTTCATTCATATTTCAGGTTTTAAAGCAGCTCGGCAATTTTCTGCTTTAACTTATGCCCCCTGAAAACGTTTTGAATGTATTTTGTGAGCAAAATATGACAGATAATACTACAATTTAGAAATGGCATTGGAAGCACATTTATTTAAATATTTTTTCCAGGTTGACTATGCTTAACTTGAAGGAGGCAGTCCAAACTAACACTAGTACATTTTGAGTCTCAGTAACCTGTGAAGTGTTCTGTTAGTACTATTATGTTTGGGGGTTTTGTACAGATTGTTAATGCTACTGCTTAGTGTCTTGGTGTTTAAATCCAACTTTCCAGTTTATTAGATCATCTAACCAGATGATTTCTTGTTCTGAGACTGCACAAGCAACTTTGAAATTTAAAAAAACAAGTGTCTTTATTGGGCAGTCATCTTTCAGAAGGTGAGGATTTTTCCAGTTTCTGAAGCAACTGGTGTATATTTTAAGAACCCTTTACCCAAGAGCTCTTAAGAAGTGTATGTAGCAAAAGTAAATAGCTATATATTTAATAATAGCTGAGTTGTTTAGTTATTGATTCCAGTTTCTTTGAACACAGCAAAACTTTTCATTGTTGGATCAAACTCTTCATCAATCAGAGATGCAGTTGACATGGGTAAGTGTGAAACTCAAACTTCAGGTAGTGTTTCTTTTTCACTTTACTATTTGGAAATAAATTTAGAAACTTCTCCATCCAAGAGCTGTGTTTAATGACTATCACAAGTATATCCTGTTTTTCTCTGAAGAAGTACTTAGGTAACCAAGTCTATTTACATGTTAGCTCAGTCACTAAACTTATTTAAATGGAGATTGCTGTAACCTTGGGTCCACAAACTTAAATCTGGTTCCTTTCTCCAAGCAGAAGCAAGTTTTTATTATTTCACACAAAACTTGTAAAAGAGTAATGAGCATGTGATGTTTTAGTAACTGGTAGAAAAGTTCTTAACAGTTGTTGGTTGCTACCAAAGAATCAGATGCCGTTCTTTTCTAACCCCGTTTGAGTTATAGTTCTAGGTAAAAATTAGAAATTTTTGAAGAAATGGAGAGTGAAGGAATCAAGAATTGTAGGTTACAATTGCTGTCTTCAGGGAAAAATACAGTTTTAACATTAAAAAGGAAAAAAAGGCTTTACATTTTATACAGTATTGAGTTTTTTTGTTCATTTGGTTTTTTGTTGTTTTTTTCCCCAAGACCTAGAATTGAAGCTTGACCTTCAGCTGTATCTTTGTTTCTTGGCTTAAAAACATGCTGAATGGGAATCTAGCACAGGGAACTAGGAGGGGTGTTTTTTTGCTGAATTTGACAAGCCATACTGCTTATGTTCATATCTCATAAAAGATTTTGCAGTGTCTCTGTTCTTTTTCCCTCAGCATGTTCTGCCCTCGGAGTTGCTCAGTTAGACTCAGTTATTATCGCCCCACCTCCTGTTGAAGATGGAACTAGCCTCTCCTTGGAGTATTTGCAACCTTATTGGAAAGAACTTGAAAATCTGGTTCAAAACAAAAAGATTGTTGCCATAGGCACCTCTGACCTAGATAAAACACTTTTAGAGCAGCTGTATCTTTGGGCACAGGTAAGAACAAACTGTCTACTCGTAGCATTTCTAGGACAGAGTTTTTTGGCTGCCACACTGCTACGAACTCTGTTATAAATGAGTTTATGCCCAAAATGTTAAGTAGTCCTATTACTGTTAGCATTTTATGGATGGTCACAATGTTGTTCAAGGTGTGGGGAAACTCAAAAGTGTGATTGTCACTTGTTATGGTGTGACAAGGCAAACAAAGGCTGGAAAACCATGTGTCTGTTCGGGATCAGATTATTTGAAGTAGTTAAGGTTGAAGTTTTGAGTTCTCTTATATTTAGAAAAGAGTATAAATAGTACTGCTAAACCTTCAGATTTATTCCAGTGACTGTGAAAACATAGGTGTTACCACTTCAAGCTGTGTTATGAAGGGAGGGTTTTCCCCTTTGGAAAATGCTGTGTGAGTGCTAAGCTTAAATGTAAAGACGAGGACAGGCTGTGAATCAGGTGGCATAGCAGTTTTGTTATCCTCTTACAACACTGAAGTGATGCAGGTCTGTACTAGTATATGTCCATGCTCATGTAAGCTTGTGGATTTACTGTTTCTTTATTAGTCCTTTGAATACTCATGACATTTCTTTTGTGGTATATGAACATGCTGTATCTGGGTAAGAGGTTCTGCTTAAGAGTTCTGATCTGTGTTTTTTGCTGTTCTGTGTATACTTAGAGACGTATAATTGAGGGGATTAATGATCACCCACCTGGTGACCATGGATGCAGCTTGTGATGAGCAGTCAATGGAAGAAAGTCCCTTTTAACTTAATCTGATCCAGGCACTTACTGGAAGGCATGAAAGAGTGCAAATTATATATTCTTAACAAAAATTATTTGTGGGAATTTTTTTTAGTATTTTTCAAGTAAACATCCCTGTGATGTTTTCACTATGTCCTGCTGCTGTTTAGGGAGCACAACAGACTGGAAGCCAGGGTGGGTTAGTACACATCCTGCTGTGGCAGCACCTGAAGTTAGATCCTGTTCTTGTTTTGGGCTCTGCGCTGCAGGAAACTGCAGATACCGGATTTGCCAGTCGAGCATCATGTAGAATTAACTGGCCTTGTTTAGACCTCAAAACAATGACCAGAGGCAAATTGTTCAATGCACAATCTCTGTTATAATAGAGTGTATGAGGGAAACAGCTAAAGTACATTAACATTTTTCTTATAAAAGTGTTTTGCTAATTTCAGGTGAAACCAAGTAGTAATCAGGTGAACCTAGCCTCCTGCTGCGTGATGCCACCTGATCTCACAGCATTTGCAAAGCAGTTTGACATACAGCTGTTAACTCACAATGACCCTAAAGGTAAGGCTTTGCGAGATAAGTGAACAGAAGACATCTAAATGTGTTTATTTAGTGCAAAATCAGGGATAATCTTTCTCTGAACTTCAAACTTTGTTACATTTGAATCTTGAACAAAGGATTCTAAAGCTTTCACCTCTAAAATATTTTTATTAATTTCTTGCTTTTTCTTCAAGAAAGAGGAAAAAGGCAATCTTCCAGGTATGGGTAGTTTCTTGGAATTGTTTTAATCAGTGAAAGGAAAGTAAATAGAATAACAAACTACTGTGGAGTTTGCACTACATATATTAAATATTAGCTTTTTCTCACAAAACATAGAATGACATTTGTGTTGCTGTAGGCCAGTAAATGACAAATGAAATGTTAAAGGTCAGTTGATCTTTTTGTGGTTTCTTAATGTTAAATATATAGAGTAATTACACTTTAAACAGGATTTTTTCAAATGAGTGACTTCTTAAATGACATTATGACAAAGAAGAGTTGGCATCAGTTGTTTTGTTCAGAGATTTGTTTATTAAATGATTGAAGGACTTGGAGGATTTCCTTTGGACTCTCAAACTGAATTACCGGCTCCCTAGAATATTCTATGATATATTATATTAGTTTCTCTCAAACATAATCTAATCTCCACTGTGATAATGCCTTAAATATCTTACTGACCTTGTAGGTGAGAAGTCTGAATATTTAGTTCATTCCTTCCCTACATTCTTCCTTATGACCAAGTATTCATTATGATCATACTTTTTCTTCCTTCTCTTCCCATTCCTCCCCTAAAAGGAAAAAAGTAAATGTTCTATAGTACCACTGTTAAAATTAATGAATTTCATCAGGGCTTGGGCATGTACCAGCACTGCTTTGGCAGCATACAAAATGAATTGCCATTCAATCCAGCAACTTCCATGTCCTATGAAGTCCATGATACAATCTGTAGTTCAGTAAATACTCTCTGTTGAGAGTTGATAAGAGCATAGAAAACAAGACACGATTCCCTTATGCATTGTTTGCTAAGCTTAACTTCTGTAATGGTCAGCTGAAAAGTATTGAGACTATCTCTGGGGAACCCTCCTCATCAAAGAGGTTGTTCCCTTGAGTGGCTTTCCAGAGGAAACTAAGAGGATTTGTGCTTGCTTTGTGGCATTTGAGCCCAATTTAAGCTTTCTAGGCTTGTTAAGCCCCAGGCTCTCTAGGCTTGTGGTTATTGTGAGCTTAGTTACGGGAGATGCTATTGAATGTTTTGCTTCCAGTGACTGCAGAGGTAACAGAATGTTCAGTACTTTGCAGATTACAGCTTATGCTTTACTCACTACTGGTTTGTCTAGCTAGCTTCTGAACCTTAATTTTAGTTTTTTCCTGCTAATGGCTCTTCTGATGAACTGCATTTGATACTGTAGAAATCTCAGTTGATTAGTTTTGTGAAAAGTACTCAAAGTTGCAAAAAAAGGTGTCCTGAAGTCTTCTGTAACGTTCAGTTGCTTTTATCCTACGTGCATTCTGGAAGAGTAGATCTGTGGAGTATCTGGCACTGCTTAAGATTCTTTTACCATAGGAAAAGGCTTAAGTGTTGCTTTTTGCAGCTCTTTACATTATGTTATTTAAAGCACGAATATCCTTTTTTAACTTCAGAATTACTTTGTGAAGCAAGTTTCCAAGAAGTTCTTCAGGAAAGTATCCAGAGCACGAAAGCACATGAGTGGATTCCTTTGTGGCTTCTCCGGTATTCAGTCATTGTTAAAAGCAGAGGAATTATCAAGTCCAAAGGCTATATCATGCAAGCTAAAAGAAATGCTTCTTGAAACACTTTATTTTTTTCAATGGCTTGCTGTTTTAATTTCTTGGGTATGGGGGGGAACATTGCTTTTTTCATAGAAACACTTTTACAGCATTTGTAACAAAGACCAAAAGTTGTAACTGTTCTACCTGGTGTCAGCAGGAGAGTCTGCAGTGTTCTGTTTCTTTCTTAAACTAATCACCAGTTCATTTAAAATATTAAATATTTTGAGTTTGTTGGTTTTAATTGAAATTATCTATAGAGAAACAGTTTAAAATATCTTTCCTTGTATGACCAGTTCACTGTAAAATTATCATTCTATTTCAGCTACCATTAGGTAGTATAAAGAAATGTCTATATTTTTATTTTTTTAAAAATGAATTTCACATTTATAATTACTTATCTCATACGTACATAGATTTCAAGCATTCAAGGACTAGTTTTTGTAGAAAATTGTCATATTTTATGAAGAACGACCCCAAAAATTTAAACTGGTATCTCATTACTTTATATGTATATATAGGCAAGTCAGCTGTTTAATTTGTATGGATGGGAAAAGCTGTTTATTTTGAATATAGTGTAAAAGACCTCTATGATTTAGAAAAAAATGCATCTTCCAAATTACTTTTGTTACTTGAATTCCTTCTGGCTTCTTTGTGCCTCGGTATGCATTGTTTAATGTTTGTACAAGTTTGATGGCATCTTTACTGTTTGAAATAGAAAATGTATTATTGTCTGAATGTTTAAAGTAAGAAATTGAAATCAAGTGATGAAAAATTTGTTAAGCAAAAATGAAATTGTGCCTGTCTTTTTGACTGTGGCTTGGTTTTTTTCATACTTGTGAACTACACAATCAGAATAGCCAAGTCAGAACAGAGAGTAAATGTTGAAGCTGTTCCCTACAATATTGTGTAATATGGATTACTTCTCTTGAGATTGTCTAGAAAACTTTGTTGCTTGAGTGCCATTCAGAAATTATGCAAGTAAGGGTTAGCTTGAAGTTAGGTGGCAGTAGCTGGGTGCTCTGGCTTTTTTATCCTGGAGAGATTGCTGCAGCTAAGGCAAGGCTTCTGGTTTAACGTAGTCTTTCTACTGAAACGATTTTTCATTTTCTTGGCCTTTAAATCAGAATAGATAGGAAAAGCTCAACTTGTAGTTCAACAGGAGCTTGATACTGAGAGTCTAAAACACTTTTTCCTTTTGATTTCAGGCAGGACTAGTTAATGTAGCTGTACATATTTTGAGATTTAAACTGTAAGGGAATTAATTTTCACCAGCATCTTCCAAATTCTGTCATGTAGGCAGCTAGTGGACTTTGAATGCTTGTAGACAGCATCTAGAGTGAGCTTCCCATATTCCATTCCACTAAGATAAAACATGACATTTTTTTTTAAGATACCTTTTGAGGCCTCAAATTTGGCAAATATTGGGGAATTCTCCTGGACTTTGTCAGTTTTTGATAAATGAGAGAGGGGAAACTGGAACTAATAACACATTAATAAAACTTTGGAATTTTTTCTCCTAATCAAAATGTAGTCTTTTTTTCTTTATGTTGGGTCAGTTTGTATTAGTGTTTAAAAATTTAATGACTTTCTTTGTAAACTTCCCTAGCAGGTTTGAGTTACGTGCTGCTGGTGATTTACCCACTGTCTGCAAATTCTGTGTGTGGCTGTTGGCACTGTGTTGGCTTAGACTTGCATGTGTACTCAGTTTTTTAAATTGAAGTGCTACTAAACAAGAATTGTACTAAACTAATGCATAGGCTGCTCTAATGGGACAATTGTTTCTTTTCTGTGAACTGGTAACTGTTTGCTGTAGAAAAGTTCCCTTTAAAACATGGTAATTTTTGAGACATGATAGGCTTATTTTTCTAGAGTAAACCGGTAACATTTTATCAAGTTCTCACATTAATTTCTTCTGTGTTATAGTGGGAGAGGTGGGATTTCCTCCCATGAGAAACTTAAACGTTTGAATTAAAATTTGCAACGCTTGTAGGCTTTTAATCTGTACTTGGTATGAATTCTCATCTCAATAACAATTTTTTATGTATTTTACACTTTGTCATGAAACGGCCTCTCAAGTCCCAGGCTCTGGTCTTTCCTCCCCTAATAGCTGGTGTTTCCCGCTCCCGGCACCCCCCGCGCCGCTCCGCCCTTGCGGCAGCCGCTCGGAACGCAGTTGCGCGGCCC